GATATTAATGGACTGTTGACTGTTTCAGAGGACTGATATAAACAGAGGCAGGGAATCCTCTTGATATTTGCTCTCCCCCCCCCTTTTTGGTAAATTCAATTTGTTATTACGTTATTATTCATAATAATATTGATATCATTAATACTGTTATTACTGATAATATTTTTGTTATATCTGTGCACAGCTACTAACATAAATTGTTGTGCTGTTACCAAACTCATAATTAGATGACTGAATATGGAATCAAATTGTGAGGCCAAATAGAGAACACCTTTCAGGACCTGTATTGCAATTGGGTGATCCTGCAGTCACCGGCCCTCAACAGCTTCCTGCCCAGGCGGACACAGGCCTTGGTGCTCACTGTTACTGTGCTGCTAGAATTCTGTGAGGGCTGCCAACTGAAAAAGGAAGCCCAATAGTCAACCTCAGAAAGAGATCCGTAATCGGCATAAATGTCCCCTGGACCCTCACGGAGATCCTTGTGAGGGGAAGTGGCCTCTCAACAGATAATGCCATGGAATTCTTATAAACAAAATGATTCCGGTGTTGTTTTAGTCGTCAAGATGTAGCAACAACCATCACCTCTTAATGTGAGCTGATGCGAATCTAACTAGAATTTGAGAATTTGAGCAGGAGAACTCTGAGTGCCTCTACCCGATCAATAGCCCTTGCTTCTTCTATATACCTTGCGGGAGTATATCTGAAACTACAGAATCTTCTGTGGAGAGATACCTGAGGGTAAGGATGCTCTGTCCTGCTTAGTGACCGGAGTTATAGGGAATTCCAGTCAGAAGGAGCGCTCTGTTGTTCAGAGCAGTATGCTGCATCCCCGCAGAGATACATTGGCGTATTGCTAATTCCATCCACAGTCACATCTTTGTGGGGATCTTTTCCGGTAAGTCATCATCTTGACAGAATCTGGCCGCTGTTGGAGCAATGTGAGTCACCACAGAGTCACTTTGAATCACTTGTCTTGATCTAGATGGGCTACCTGATCTTGTGCAGCTGTGCTGCATCTGGATTACACAGACAGATTCAGGGGTGGTTGCAGAGGGGGATTGGAGCCGAAGTAGGCCTGGAGGAGATGAGGTTTGAGAATTTTCTTCATCCTCCCACATGAACTTCTTCATGTGTTTTTCTAGTACCTTATGACGCATGTTAGCGTCTTTTTCTGCTGCTTAGGAGGTACACTTAGAATGCTTCAATTTGTTTTGAGAATTTGACATGGCTCTTGAGCTACTGCCGCTTGCCATTGTGACCGCTTATTAAATTTTACTGTTAATGAGGCTGAAATGCATGCCCAGGGGCCTGAACCAGCAATGGCCAGGGAACCCTAAAACAATTCTCCCCAATTTTGTATAATCTTATGAAAGAATACTGAATTCTTATTCTTGTTCCTATTATTATCGTCATTATTATTTTGTTCTTAATATTATTATTTCCGAATTAGCCAAATTAGGAACACCTCATAGGCCTAGAAAGGAGGAATTGTTGAAATAAGATGTAGGCCTGCGACAGCTTCCCGCACAGGTGGACACGGGCCTTGGTGCTCGCTGTGGTGCTGCTGTTTAATTCTGTGAGGGCATAAGCCAACAGTTTCCTCCTTAATGAATAAGGGTCCAAAATAGAATAATT